TTCACGGCTAAGAAGAGTCTGAGACAGACGGTCGTTACGGGCATGTTTGCGACAGAAGCTTAGTAGACGTTCTCCTTGGCACAACCATCGCACGCGTGCAACAAATAGACAACGTCATTTCAGGTCAATTTGATATTTCACCAGAATTTCTATGATTTATCCACTTCTTTTGAATAAATGCCCTTTTTTTAATTTTCTACCGACTGATTTTGATTATTCACCCAAAACTTTAATAAATTGCTGGTCTTTCTGAGAACATACCGACTTGAATTAACGAGTCATCAGTTTGGCTACACGGGCGATCGCAGCGTGGTTACACGTCGCCTACTCCGTGCAAAATACCACGCGTCCTACGCGAGTGTGTGCACATTTGCGAGTCGCTAGTTGCGACTTATACTGTACCAAGATGAAGCTGATGAGAGTCTGTATCCGTGTATGAATCTGTGTCTGAGTGCACCGGGAAGGGGCGTCAGAGGCTAATGAGTTCACACAAGACAGGGTTAGCAGCAGGAAGAAATATACGTCTTGGGAACGATATTTCGCCGTTTGTATTCGGACACCGAAACTTTCCCTTGGTAGATCTGTTGAGATATGAAGTTACTCTTCTCGTCAGTGTTCTCGGCTCGTTAGACTGATGATAGACAATGTCTATGCCGAACAGTACGGCATGTCTATTAGACATGCCGTACTGCTCGGCGGAATCGTCACCAAATTACATTAGATGCAGCTTGTCGGTAGTGACGACAGTAGTCTTGCAGACGATGACCTTGATCGCGATTTGTAATTTTCCCCTCAGATGGTTCTGTGTCCCCGGAAGTGGCCGGCCTCTGTGAGAAAGATTCGCTGTACGCTTAAGTATCCTTCAGAGAGTGTGTACCGCATGAAATGCCCTCACGATCGTGGGACATCCTTGACTCTGCGAGTTTCTCGCGAACCGCGGCTCGCGTTGAATCTAATAGGTCGGTTACATGTCCGTCCGGTGTAGCCAAAGCTAACGACATTAATTGGAGTCGGAATGTTATTGAAAAGACCAGCTATTTTATTAATATTTTGGGTAATAAAATAATATCAGTCGGTAAAAGATTAAAAGAAAATAAAGATGAAAGAATACTTGCAATTTGCCATAATTGTAACCTTGGTTTTCAATAACTTCGTTTCGTTGCTGGTTCTCTTCGGCTAATGGGGCACACCCAAGTCGCAGACTTTAACACAATCCAACTCGTCAAAATCACGCACTATCAAGCAGACTAGACAATCGAGAAATCTCTAATGAATTCACATGTGATACTGAGCGTAGTTTCTCGGATAGAACCGCTCTCTCCTCAGTCTCATCTCGCGAGCTGTATACGGCCGGAGTGGGATTATCGAGATCTTCTCTCGACTCCACTGCTTCACAGATCGATATGAGACCGAAGCTAAGGGGACAACTCTACAAGAATCATCAGACGTATGGCCAAGTCGCTGACACTGTCGTGCATTGAATTGTTCTTCTTGTTGTCGACTTGACTTCTCTTCCGCATGAAATTGTCTCATTATCTCCTGGGCGTCCGCCAGCTGATGCAACACATCGTTTGTGCGGGTCGACACAGAATCAGACTTGCTCGTGATCGAGTATCCAAGAAAACCAAACATGGGACGACTAAAACGAATTGCATCGATCACGAATACATCAAGACGTTCCACAAGATACAAGCCTCCGAACGGGGAGCACATTCAAACTTGAGCGTATACGGAGATTCAATCGAGAAGATATTGACCAACACAACCACCTTATTGATTCAGAGAGCGACTACTTCAATATGATTACCGTTTATATCACTTACGACTGGTGTTGGCCAGTCATTCAGCAAAACAATTCCAAGACGACTTCATCTGAGATGATTACCCAGTGACAAACTATGGAACAGAAAGAGACGCTTGACTTGATACTGACGAAACTATTCGACGGTGACCGACTTGGCGAGGTTACGAAGTTTATCAATAGAGCAACCACGGAGATCGGCAACATAATATGAGAGCATTTGGAGAGGTATTGTAGTGACAATAGGCTGTAAGATTATATCGACAGTTGGCACACGAGTGATGAGATCCTTGTCGCCGGCGAACTTGTTGTCCAAGTCGCGGCTGCCTTCTTCGGTGATGATGAGAAGATCCCCATTACGAGCCTTAACTTCCCCGATGTTAGCCTTGACCTTATCATAAGTTGGATCACTCTTAGGGGCAATACAAACAACAGGCATCATGCGATCGATCAAAGCGATGGGACCATGCTTCATCTCAGCAGCTGGATACCCTTCAGCATGGATCTAGGAAATCTCCTTCAACTTCAATGCACCCTCTAAGGCCACAGAAAAGTGAATTCCACGACCGAGGAAGAGGAAGTTGCTCGCAAGGCGGAAATACAGGGAGAGGTTCTTAACTTCATAGTTGAGTTTCAGCACTCGCTGAATAGTTTCGGGATAACGATACATCTGCTAACATAGAGTGTCGAAATACCCAACAACAATTGTACCCCGAGCAAGGGCGAGGCGAAGAGCTTACAGAGTCAAAACCATAACCTGGGAAGTGAAAGCCTTGGTGGAAGCGACACCGGTCTCAGGACCAGCATGAAGATATGTACCAGCATCAGTATCACGGGCAATGGTGGATCCAACAGTGTTAACAATGCCGATCGACAACGAACCATATTTCCTAGCAACACGAACACCCTCCAGGGTATCGGCTGTTTCACCAGACTGGGAGATCACGATAACTATGTGACATAGTCTATGTCTTTTGGGGTGAGAAGAGGGTTGCGATAGCGGAACTCGTAAGCATACTCAACTTCAACATTAATACGAGCTAGTTGCTCAATAAGGTACTCTCCAATAAGGCTGGAGTGTCACGAAGTACCACAAGCACAGATGATAATACGACGGGCATCGCGAATAGATTCTAACGCTGTCTAGTCAGTGCCACGTGCAGTAGTATGCAGACCGCCCAGTCTAATGCCCCACTTTGAAGAAATGCCGTTCAAGCCGTAACATCAGAGTTCACTTTGTACAATCGACCGCGACAAGAGTTCTCCAAACAATGCTGTTAATCCATGATCTCCTTGAGCATGAAATGATAGTAACCGCCTTTCTCTATCTGCTCGAGGTTTAGTTTGAGCTGAACCGACGGGTTGTTGTAGATATCCTCTCGACAAAGATTTGACGAGTACTGAAGGCATCGATGCTTCGAAGCCGATAACCCGACTTACGGACCTCAGCAAGTTCACCATCACGTAGATAGACAACATCCTTGGTGAACTCGACAACGGCAGAAGCATCGGAAGCAAGCATATACTCATCGTCACCGACACCCAGAATGAGAGGAGAGCCCTAACAAGCCCCGATAGGCAGGTCGGGCTCATCCGCGAACGTGAAAACAACACCATAGGCACCCGTCACAAGGCTCAAGGCGCAGGAGACAATAACAGACCATGAAGGGTCAGGTCTCATCTGCTTACGAACATCAGCAACCAAATGAGCGAGGAGCTCAGTATCGGTCTCCGAGGTAAAGTGGTATCCCTTATTGATGAGCTCCTCACGCAGACTGGCGTAGTTCTCGATGATACCGTTGTGGACTACAGCGATCTTCCGATCCTCAGTGAAGTGAGGATGAGCATTGGCGTCAGTAGGAGCGCCATGAGTAGCCCAACGGGTATGAGCAATACCCATAGTGCCAGCGTATTCCGGGTTGTTGACACCACCGCAAGCAGTCTCGAGGTTGGCGACCTTGCCCACCATCATAGCGATGTTCAACTCTTTACCATTATGGATTCCCACACCTGCCGAATCGTAACCTCTGTACTCTAAGCCTTTCAACGCCTTGACAGGACAAGGAAGAGCCTGTCGATCTCCAACGTACGCGAAAATGCCGCACATTAAAGCAGAATGGCTAGAAACAATAGAAACTATCAAATAACAAGTATATCGCGTGATCTGCCTCTCTTTGTATCGCCATTATCCTAGCCTCAGCCTGCAGCTCATAGCTGAACGGGTTCAATGTATTTAGGAACATAATTACAACAGGAACAGCATCGGCGTTAGAAATCGGGCTGGCTGCTTCCATAATGGTAATAGTGCGGAATTATCAATGCCCCACATAGTTTTTCTCATCTGAAACTCCGTCTCGCTCGGAGCACGCATGCACAAACATCTCTCCAAGTGTATAGGTTCCCTATAGAGTATCCCAACCATGAACATCGATCTCGATTCCCCTTTGTTATGAACCACTGCAGCAGGATGTGGGAACGCGACAGGGTACAAGATCAGCAACCCCAGCAAAACTCGCACTCTACAGAGACGAGACTCTTCAGATAATCAAAGAGTGAAGACGCCGCCTCAAATAAAAGTTTATGGGGGACGAGCGCCATTTCCCACTCAACTACGGTAACTACTCAACTGTAACAGATTTAGCCAAGTTACGTGGCTGATCGATAGAGCAACCTCTGAGGTCTGCAATGTAGTAGGAAAGTAGCTGCAACGGTACGACGGCGATAATAGGTTGCAGATTCACGTCCACAGAGGGAATTCGAATGATGTACTCTTCATCACTGACGAATCTATCTAGATCATGGTTGCCCTCTTCTGTGATAATAATAAGCTCGCCATTGCGAGCCTTAACTTCCTCGATGTTAGCCTTGACCTTATCATAAGTTGGATCACTCTTAGGGGCAATACAAACAACAGGCATCATGCGATCGATCAAAGCGATGGGACCATGCTTCATCTCAGCAGCTGGATACCCTTCAGCATGGATATAGGAAATCTCCTTCAACTTTAATGCACCCTCTAAGGCCACAGGGAAGTGGATCCCACGACCGAGGAAGAGGAAGTTATGTGCCATCCGGAAGAATTTCGATATTGTCTTGACCTGGGTCGCAGTCTTCAACACCGTCGAGATATGCTCGGGAAAGTTATGAAGCTCTTCACAAAGTGTGTAGAAATAGTCGTCCTCGATTGTACCACGCTTACGAGCTAAGCTCAAAGCCAATAGAGTGAGGACCATAACCTGCGAAGTGAAAGCTTTAGTAGAAGCGACGCCGATCTCAGGACCAGCGTGAAGGTAAATGCCAGCATCGGTATCACGAGCAATTGTTGAACCGACGCAGTTGACAATGCCTATGGAAAGTGCGCTATTTGACTTGGCAATGCGTATCGCCTCCAGGGTATCAGCAGTTTCACCTGATTGGGAAATAGCAACGATGACATCTTTAGGAGTTAGAAGAGGGTTGCGATAGCGGAACTCGGAAGCATACTCAACTTCAACATTAATACGAGCTAGTTGCTCAATAAGGTACTCTCCAATAAGACCAGAGTGCCACGAAGTACCACAAGCACAGATGATGATACGATCAGCATTAGCGATGGTCTCTAATGCAGTCTTTTCCGTGCCCTGGACTTTAGTGTTGAGACCACCCAACTTGATATCCCATTTGGGAGAAGTATGACCATCATGTTCTTGCATAGGTTGATAGAGCCTTCCTCGACACGTGTTACGTATGCAGTTAGGTTGATCCATAATTTCCTTGATCATGAAATGAGGATACCCACCCTTCTCAATTTGCGCGAGAGACACTTCCAGTTGGACGAGAGGATTAGTAACGTCCTCATCAATGGACATCTGCCGGGTACTGATGCCCTCAATCGTCCTTAGCCGATAACCAGACTTGCGCACTTCCACAAGCTCTCCATCTCTGATGAAGACCACATCTTTGGTGTACTCAACAACAGCTGATCCATCAGAGGCAAGCATATACTCGCCTTCACCAACACCCAAAATGAGAGGGGAGCCCTTGCGAGCACCAATCAGGAGGCCGGGTTCGTCTTCGAACATGAAGACAACACCGTAGGCACCTGTCACAATGCTCAATGCGCAAGAAACGATGACAGACCATGAAGGGTCAGCTCCCATCTCTTCACGAACATCAGCAACCAAATGAGCGAGGAGCTCAGTATCGGTCTCCGAGGTAAAGTGGTATCCCTTATTGATGAGCTCCTCACGCAGACTGGCGTAGTTCTCGATGATACCGTTGTGGACTACAGCGATCTTCCGATCCTCAGTGAAGTGAGGATGAGCATTGGCGTCAGTAGGAGCGCCATGGGTAGCCCAACGGGTATGAGCAATACCCATAGTGCCAGCATACTCCGGGTTGTTGACACCACCGCAAGCAGTCTCGAGGTTCGCCACTTTTCCACTCTTCTTACAAATTTGAATATGCTTCCCGTTATGAATCCCAACGCCGGCAGAGTCGTAACCTCTGTACTCCAGTCGCTTGAGAGCTGTGATCAGGCAAGGAAGTGCCTGCCTATCTCCCAGATACGCAAAGATTCCACACATGAACAGAACTCGGCAAACTAGAGCGGAAATCTACTACCAAGTAAGGAACCACCAGAGAATTTAAGATATCTCTCCATTGCACTCTGTAGATTGCTTCAACTAAGCGCATACACGTGAATCTACTACGGTTTGTTCAAAAGGGGTTTTGTACAAAAGTGGCTGAATCAATTGAACATCCTGTCGGAAGGAAACCGTGATATTTCTTGCAATCTTGCCACTCATCAGTATTCCCTAACGTATGAGTACTTCGTACTACGAAGTTTGTAGTACGAAGTATTACCCCCCCCGGCGTCGTTTCGTTGTCCAAGCTCGTACTCTTTTGTGGGTAGGGAGGTTGCTTCTCGACTATCCAGATACGAGTGTTCTCCCCATTCCGTGTCTACACGAGTGAGCTTACCAAGCCTACACTCGTGGTGGTGTTGCTGTCTTCGTGCAAAAACTGATTGTTCTCAGGGGGCATATATTGAGGGGGTGGCATAGTTGCCCCTATGCAAGGATCGATTCGACTAGGGCATCTCTTGAGGGGGTGGCATAGTTGCCCCTATGCAAGGATCGATTCGACTAGGGCATATATTGAGGGGGTGGCATAGTTGCCCCTATGCAAGGATCGATTCGACTAGGGCATATATTGAGGGGGTGGCATGGTTGCCCCTATGCAAGGATCGATTTAACTAAGGCATTCCTTGAGGGGGTGGCATAGTTGCCCCTATGCAAGGATCGATTCGACTAGGGCATCTCTTGAGGGGGTGGCATAGTTGCCCCTATGCAAAGATCGATTCGACTAGGGCATCTCTTGAGGTGGTGGCATAGTTGCCCCTATGCAAGGATCGATTTAACTAGGGCATCTCTTGAGGTGGTGGCATAGTTGCCCCTATGCAAGGATCGATTCAACTAGGGCATCTCTTGAGGTGGTGGCATAGTTGCCCCTATGCAAGGATCGATTCAACTAAGGCATCTTCCAAGGTGGCATAGCTGCCCCTCAGCAAGGGCTGATCAAACTAAGACATTTCTTGAGATGGCATAGTTGCCCCAAAAGTTTCGTTTACCAGGAGCAATACATTGTTGATTCCCTCTCCCTCCCCCTCCCGCATGCCCCTCATATACCGGACACTGACCTTGGCAACGAGTGTTTCTGCGAGATATGGTGCCAAGGTCAAAGCTGGAGTATTGCTTCGGGACGCCAGACAGGAGACAGCTTTGCGTCGTTTAGAGAAGGTCATTGAGCGCACTGCCGGGTTTATAGGAGTCGAGGATGGCAGGTCCATGATAGGCTCAGACTGATGCAGGGATCACGCGAAGGAGATAGTCGGTGGATCAAGTCGCAGAATACGATTGCATCGAAGGTGCTCGCAGCAGAGCCGGCTGTTACGAACGCCTCCACGGTAGACGAGTACTTGAATCGCATAACTATCGGTAATTAGCCACGATACTCCGTCCGACTCTGTATGATATGGCTTACTATTGGGAGAAATCGTCATATGAATTCATATTTTCGTATGTCATACAACTTGTGGATACTAGCTGCTCATGGAGTGGGAATATTTTCTGGCAAATAGTCGCGGCTATTACCATGATGTCTCAATTTGTGCTTTGTCCATCAGAAAACCGCCAGTTGATGCGAGAAAAAGGGGTGAAGATGTTCCTCACGAAAGCTGAAAAGGAGGGTAAATTCGTTGTCCCGAAGCCAAGCCGTCACTCGGGAGGCACTGCAAAGCTCCCATCCACGCATGAGCCTCCAGCAACATCATCACTCGATACAAAGATGGCAGGATATGAGACTGAGAACCCAACAAAGCTCAAAAGAAATTCATTGTAAGTCGACTAGCGAGTACAGTCGGGTGGATACAGGAGCTAGTCGTTAGATACCTTTTCGGGTCTGTTGGACGTGGCAAGACCATGCTAATGGATACTTTCTACACGGCGATCTTACATGACGCGACTCTCACTTTGAGGCACAAGCGCGAACATTTTTTCGACTTCATGAGAGAGATTCACAAACGAATGCGAGATGTAGACAGGCAAAGGTAACATCATTGTGACGAATCGTTTCAGCGTGCATCTCAGATCACCTGAATTGACACCTGTTGAGATAGTCGCCAATAGTATTGCCGATGAGATCGATCTAATCTGTCTGGACGAGGTAATTCTACATAGCGCCGAAGCTCAGCTCGCTCTATTGCCATGTAAGGTTTCTGTCGTGGATGTCCAAGACGCTTCTATTCTACCTAGAGTACTGGAAATCCTATCGCTGAGGGGAGTCACGTTAATCATGACTTCGAATATGAAGCCCAACGAACTTTATGCGGGAGGTATATAACTCCGTGAACTTATCAGCGAACATTGGTTATATCGACAACATCAGGCCTCAATCGACATATATTCATACCGCCACTACTCCGAGCTTTAGAGCAGACGTGTGTTGTCGTCAACCTCGATGAGCAAGACGCTGCGGAACAGGTGAGATTGAGTCGCCACTTAGATCTAAATTGCTCCCCCAGGTTGATCATCGGAAGAATACAGCGACTCGAGGGAAATGGGCAGACAGCCGATACTATTGCCCTGGCTCAAGCCCAGTCGTGGCTACTGAGTTCGATGAAGATTTTCAGCTAATCGAAGGGATATGCCATGAAGGTCCCTGGATATTCAATTTGCCGCACTCGCCGACTCGGTAGCTTCCCAGAGCTTGCGTCGTCGACCGACAGTCGTAACGTTAGGACATTACGAGGCGGAAAATACAAGCTGGACAAGGATCGTCTCAGTGGTGTCATGTTCGATTTCGATTCCCTCTGTGGCAGAGAGCACGGCGAAGCCGACTTCAGCGCCCTGGCTAGTCACTTTCAACTCCATGGAACAGTGTTTTTCATCCGAGACGTATTGTAGCGTCTCGATGGCGCTCGCTTATCTATGCTGCGCTCAGGTCCCTGTCTTTGGGGAACTGGATGGCCTTGGGTGTGCGAGGAGATTTGGCAAATTGGTCGAGATTTTGTATGATAAGGCTATCCCTGTACGGATTCTAGCTTCCGATACACCTGAGGAGATCTTTGCGCTTTTATCCAACTCGCATGGTGCGTTTGATTCAAGTTCTGTATGATCTGTGCCTCTACTCATGTATTCCCAGATGCAGTTGAACAACTTGTCGGTGATAAAATTCCTATCGGAGTGCGTGGAGCAGTTCGCGAAGCCAGCACTCGTGCTTTGGACCGCTGTGTGTCCCGACTCCTTGAGTTGGCACGTTTCGGATGAATGACAGGTTTCGGTTGTGATGCCGCTCTATGTTGTGTTCACGAATGTGGAGATGCTCTCTGCTAGAGGGACACTCGAGCTCCTGAAATTATCATGAACTACATGCACCCAACGGCAGGTCGCAAATCCCTCTTGACGGGTTTGAAGTGATAATGGGAGGCTGAGATTTTACCAAAGCCACCCTTCGGGCAGTTGAGCCTCGCGTCGAGCGCACCTCCTCGTGATCTACGAAGTCCTTAATATCGCATTGCCATTTCGTCATCCAGGTTGTCGTCGTCCATGGTATTGATAGTGTGAGTTCTTGTGCGGACTACGATTAATCTCAAGCTGCTTATACTTGCCTCTTGAAGAGAGACCAAGAGGTACACCTTAATTATAGGATCATTAGAAGCTGCACCTTCGTAGCATGAGGTACAAGTTTACTAAACTTAGTTTAGTGTAGCTTCTCAATGGGAGTAAGTCTACCGACTGCACAGTGCGATGGTGGGAATGGCACTCGCAGTTTTTTGAATATTTGCAGTTGGCACTAGGTCCCAGCGGTGCCTCGCTCAGAGTCAATAAGTGTACGCTTCCGGACATGAAATTATGTGGTTGTTGTTGGTGGATCATCCGAAATCTGTAATGCTGCAGGTTCTACACCTGTGATGGTTCACTAATCCATCACCGATATCAACAATGATGTCCTTAGAGAAGTATAAAGGCTTTCGTCTAGTCGTACTGCGTCACAGCCCAGTCAGTGACTTGAAGTCACTAGGACTTGGCAGTGAATCATACAATATACGACCTGTTGAGAGCGTCAGTGAGTTTTACCCTGTTTCACAGCCACAATAACCCTGACAAGCACTCCAACCGCTATATTGATGAAGGAATCAAACAATGTAGGAGTTATGGTCAGCCGGTTACACGTCGCTCTCGTAGCTGTAGCACAGTAACAAGGTCACTATCATAGTGACACTATGTGTGGGGAAGGGGTAGACTTATTGACGTTGGAGAAGGAGTTGATTGAAGAAGCTTTCCTTAGGACATGATGATCCTTACATGTTGCTCTTGAAGTACAAGAGCACTTTGAGGAGTCCAATGCGTTTCGATTCCAATATCGCAACGCAACGCAACGCAACGCAATGCTTATTGCCGGGCTTTACGGGCTAGCAGCCGATCGCCCTTAAACGTACAATAGCCGGCTCAGAAGCACCTGCAGAGACAGTGAGGCTATAACCCCGTCGACATCAGAGATATGTGGCTGCTACTACTACAACGAGAGAGAAAGGTAAATAATGCAAAGAGCGGGGCCAGATATAATACGTAAAATAAAAAAAAGAGCTTGAAATGATAGGGGAAGAAATACAACTACTATAAAGAGGACGATATAGACTCCAGGCAGCTCTAACATATGCAAAGGTGATGACATCGCACGATATATGCTACGAGAAGCACAGGGAGAGTAATGAACCACCAGAACAGGGTTTACACGGCAGACAGAAGACAGCTGCGGTTGGGTAGGGGAAGTAAGTTAAGTCGACAACGGTACTATAGATGCTCCTCTTGCTCCTTCGGGACTCGGCAGAATACACCGGGGATCATAACATGAACACGGCGATGGTGAACACGGACAGTAAGATTGTCGAAAGCGAGAAGGCATCGCGATGATTACCAGTTCATACAGTAGACCATGGTAGACCATGCTCGTGCAAAACCAACTGAGGCAGTATTCGAAAAGCATAATAGCCCACTGCCAGTGGTGCTGCACGTAGTGTTGACGTCTTGTCCACCAAACGATTTCAGGCACGACGCCGAATTGATAGTACCTGGAACGACAAGGGAGAACAACTAACAAAGCGGGGCGAATGCGAATGCATTAAATGAGACACCTGAGCGAAAGAACACGGGAGCAACTGTTGGGCAAAGGCAGTGGCAAGTACGGCGTAACTCAGGGGAAAGAAAGGCCGAGGCCTGACAAAAGCCAGGGCAAAGGTGAAAGCAAATCCTCGACAAGTAGACAGTGATGCAGGAATATCATGAGACAAAATCGTTAGAGGGAACGGTGTGGCATGAGATATATTGCAAGGGTAAGATAGAGCAGGTATACACATAGTAGCAGCCCATAGAATAAAACGCTAGAAAAGAGCTAAACAGGCATCAACGGAGAGAAACCCCACCATACTCCAAGGCACCCGCTGAGGGATGTACGAGTATAAGCAGAGGTGGTCAAGGCTTGGCACCGGCTATACCGAACCGGTCACCCCCACGCCACGTTGAGGCGCCAAGACCTGTGGGGGCCAATATCGCATTATACGCATGTGCCCGTGACGCTGTTGGATGGCATGCTATAAGAACTCAAGTCCTCGTGGTTACCCGTCTCTTGAACGAATAATTATATACATCATCATGCTTACACTACCAGATCTAGAATATCTTACGGTTTCTCAGATGTGTGAAACCGGCAATAATACCCGAGAATGTCAAGGTATGAATGCAAGTGCAAGAAGTTGAAGTTAAAGCCCAACTTGTAGATAACGCAAACCAGACCTTGAATCTTAGAGTACACTTCCAGTGCACAGTAGATACGATAGAACCGTAAATGCTTACGGACAATTCCACACTCACTTATGAGTAGTGATCTTGCAACACTCTAGCGTGCTAGCTACACAGCTTAGCGTACTACACAAATGGAGCAATGGTCACAACACACAAGACGGGCCGAAGGTTTTCATGGCGAGTGACGCTTCTGGGACATCGTCCCATAACATCCCCTCCCCGCAAAACCTCGGCACGAACTTAAATTAAGAGATACGCTAATCATCATATAGTCTATCATCATATCTGCTTTGTCATCGGCAATGGCTGGCAACGGGCCGGACTGCAACTAATTACAGGAGCAATACGGGCCGAACAAGTCATACAGGCTCAGGAACATCTCCACCAATGTTGTCGAGCAGAGTCTTCAGTCCTATCCACGTCATCATCGGTTTTAGAAAAACCATCCAGAACGGGCCGAAAACCACTTGGGGGAATGTCTAGCATCGCTGTTCGGAGCGACATTAAACAATTGCCCATTACGGTCATGAAGCTTACGTACCACACCATTGATATCAGTAACCGGGCGTGGTCGTAGTTACGGGCCGAAACCGGGGTAGGTGGGTCTTGTTGGTTAAAGGTGTCGAAGAAGCACCGTAGGTTGTCTCCACGCCTTTCGGGCTGAACATTGAGGAGTTCCTGAAGTCTGGCTAGTACACCAGGCATTTAGATAACAGCCTGCAACCGAGAGATAAAACATCTATCTCGAAAGAGCAGATTAAATGACAAACTTATGAAAAGCACCAATAATATACCTCATTCTTGCCAAACATTTTAGCAAAAACGGTCAACTGTGCGTGCGCCATGTACGCACGAACCCGAAGATTCGACTTAAAACGGTTATCGAAAGCTTCGAAACATGCCTCAACCATGCCATCCATAGGCAGGTATGGGAGGCTAACACTGAGTACTCACAAATTACAAAGAACGTTCAGTGAAAATCATCCACTCCAATATTCCAAGTGCACTAACGTGGGTGTACGCACACCCAAGAGACAAGGGCCTGATAGCACAGCCCTACTAGGACAATACGATCCACAACTTGACGTCAATTACAATACCGGTCTTAAATACAATCAAATATGTCAGAGATCTCAAATACAATTAAGAAGTTACAAATCTTGAATATCATCAAGCAGAACTTCAATACCAAAACTCAGAGGTACCTTAGTAGAGTGAGACAATAAAATCCATCACTTCCCCTCCCCGCAGAATCCTACTGCAGGGTGAAAGGAGGATTTAGCACTACTAATTACTTAGTGCTACCTCT